TATCTCTTCTCTCTCTCTCTCTCTTCTCTCTCTCTCTCTCTCTCTCTCTCTCTCTCTCTCTCTCTCTCTCTCCTTCTCTCTCTCTCTCTCTTCTCTCTCCTCTCTCTCTCTCTTCTCTCTCTCTCTCTCTCTCTATCTCTCTTCTCTCTCTCTCTCTCCTCTCTTCTCTCTCTCTCTCTCTCTCTCTCTCTCTCTCTCTCTCTCTCTCTCTCTCTCTCTCTCTCTCTCTCTCTCTCTCTCTCTCTCTCTCTCTCTCTCTCTCTCTCTCTCTCTCTCTCTCTCTCTCTCTCTCTCTCTCTCTCTCTCTCTCTCTCTCTCTCTCTCTCTCTCTCTCTCTCTCTCTCTCTCTCTCTCTCTCTCTCTCTCTCTCTCTCTCTCTCTCTCTCTCTCTCTCTCTCTCTCTCTCTCTCTCTCCTCTCTCTCTCTCTCTCTCTCTCTCTCTCTCTCTCTCTCTCTCTCTCTCTCTCTCTCTCTCTCTCTCTCTCTCTCTCTCTCTCTCTCTCTCTCTCTCTCTCTCTCTCTCTCTCTCTCTCTCTCTCTCTCTCTCTCTCTCTCTCTCTCTCTCTCTCTCTCTCTCTCTCTCTCTCTCTCTCTCTCTCTCTCTCTCTCTCTCTCTCTCTCTCCGTTTTTCGGTATTCGGTATCCCTCGCCCACTATCTCCGGGAGATACAGCAGAGGTGGACGCCGCAGTTTGAACGCCGCTTGAGGCTGGCTGGCTGATGCTATGTGTATGAGATGGGGCGATCCGGCGCTGGAGTAGCCGGGGGCTCGAGCGGGCTGAAACCAGTGCCTAGTCCCTAGTCGCTGCATGCACCTCTCCATGTCTGCGCCTCACGGGCGGGGCTCTGGCAATGGGCGACCCCCGTCAGTGTCCTCTGTAGCGGCCGGTTCGCGGAAATTGGATATTCGTGGATAGTGGGGCGGACATCTTAAGGACGGTCATTCGCCGCTTTTATGCACAGTGCTGTTGATTCACTGCTTCGTCGCTGGTTAGGAGAATTCGCGACATTTTATGATCTATGCCAGGCGTGCTCAGAATCTGACTGCAAAATGGCCGTCACGGCGCCACATATTCGAAATCGAAGCTCAGCTGATGATCTTATTTGCGATTGCAAATACCTACCGCAAATTAGATAATTAGTAGGGCTGCTACTAGCAAAAGGCCGTATCCCACTTTTCCTGAATCGATTTCTTTTTGTGCGTCGGATTCTTTGAAACTTTACATATCGCGTCTCCGGGGCTGCACTGCGAGGAAGATCGGAATATTGTGTGCCAATATCCTGTCCTGAGTAAATATTTCCGGTAAATACTTCGTAAACATCAATAATGGTAATGAGATGTAAATTGCGATCTCGCTGAAGCCCTGTGAAGACATCCTCTATGGTCTGCAGCCTGCAGATCTTGGCCTTCGACGCTGCTTTGTCTCCTTCGGTTATAAGTCTAATGGTAAAAACGTGATATACATAGCAGTACATTTCACAATTGATGCACTTATGCGCTTGGGATCATGATTTATTTATGTGAAAATTTGCCTTCATTTTTGTTTTGTTCGTATTTCGTGACAATTCAGACCTTTTTTATGCATCGATTTTCATCCGAGCTCTCGATGGACTCGAAACTCATTGGGGTGCAGCGATCGAAAATCAAAGTCAGTAAACCTCCCATTCTGCTTCTGAGGTATTGATTCTTTCTGAATTAGTCATAAGTCGACCGACCGTACGTTTTAACAAACACTATGTGGCCAGCCTCTGGCGAGACGTGACTGTTGTGCTGGAGCGCCGCGTACAGCGCTATACATGCCGCGCCGCTACACAAAATACGATGTGATCTGCTTTTTTAGTCAATGAGACGGTGAATTAGTGTATATTGCTGGCTATTTCCACACTGCTAGCAGGTAGATAACAATGTTCCAAAATTAAGAGTGTTTGTGTAGAGTAATTCGCAGCTGCACGCAGAGGAACAAAGTTGAAATTCTGAATGTGAGTGGGGAGCGTTTTGGCCGGCATTACCACAGCTCCGATCTCGCCGAGTGACAGAGGAACACAGGGGAGCTGTTACACCAATCAGTCGATCCGGCTGTAAGCATCAACAGCCACAATTGTACCCGACGGGCAGCTCGAGCTGTGGTCGGAAACTGCTAGAAGTCCAGCTTGGAAACTAGGAAGGGTGTAACTCTGAATTTGTTCCCTGTCCATCACTCGCGAAAATGCAGAATACAGCCATCAGCTCGCTGATCCTCTGCTATGAATTGGCTATGATGCCTTCTCCCGTTGTGGCTTGAGGGATGATTTAGAGCGTTGGTGTGTTCAACACACCCAGCAGGCCGCGGTAAACCACGATCCCGTGGGCAAATCGGCGCGGATCTGCGCCGAGCCCCATATCGTCGACTGGCGCCGCGATGGCAGACCCCCCCCCCCACCCCACCCCACCCGCTTCGGGCAGCAGACCTTCCCTCTCCCTCACCAGCTCCTGGCAGCAGACCGCCTCCTGACCCGCTCTGGGCAGCAGACCGCCTCCTGACCCGCTCCGGGCGGCAGACCGCCTCCTGACCCGCTCCGGGCAGCAGACCGCCTCCTGACCCGCTCCGGGCAGCAGACCGCCTCCTGACCAGCTCCTGGCAGCAGACCGCCTCCTGACCCGCTCTGGGCAGCAGACCGCCTCCTGACCCGCTCCGGGCAGCAGGCCGTCTCCTGACCCGCTCCGGGCAGCAGACCGCCTCCTGACCCGCTCCGGGCAGCAGGCCGCCTCCTGACCCGCTCTGGGCAGCAGACCGCCTCCTGACCCGCTCCTGGCAGCAGGCCGCCTCCTGACCCGCTCCGGGCAGCAGGCCGCCTCCTGACCCGCTCCGGGCAGCAGACCGCCTCCTGACCCGCTCTGGGCAGCAGACCGCCTCCTGACCCGCTCCGGGCAGCAGGCCGCCTCCTGACCCGCTCCGGGCAGCAGGCCGCCTCCTGACCCGCTCTGGGCAGCAGACCGCCTCCTGACCCGCTCCGGGCAGCAGGCCGCCTCCTGACCAGCTCCGGGCAGCAGACCGCCTCCTGACCCGCTCCGGGCAGCAGGCCGCCTCCTGACCAGCTCCTGGCAGCAGACCGCCTCCTGACCAGCTCCTGGCAGCAGGCCGCCTCCTGACCAGCTCCTGGCAGCAGACCGCCTCCTGACCAGCTCCTGGCAGCAGGCCGCCTCCTGACCAGCTCCTGGCAGCAGACCGCCTCCTGACCAGCTCCTGGCAGCAGACCGCCTCCTGACCCGCTCTGGGCAGCAGACCGCCTCCTGACCCGCTCCGGGCAGGCCGCCAGGACAGCCGGCCGGCTGGTGTGCCCGTTTTCACCAATGGCACCGACCAGCATGAGCGGAATTTCTCGCAATGGTCCTTATAGCCCCACTCCGATCGTAGTACGGCTGCTTAATGTCAAACGAAAACTTACGGCACGCTTGATTTGCTCTTTAAAATCGCAAGGGACCTAATACGTTCGCAGAGCCAATCGTAAAGAGCGAAACTACGGCACGTTAAGGCAACTTGATTTCGATTCTTCCTTTATACTAGCAGCGCGGGAGATCAGTGCAGCTGCTTCTAGTATCCGTTTTTCATTTCATTAGATCTTTTTGGCAGAGGTAAGAGATGCGTTTTACGAGTATGTCTCTCGATAAGAGCACTATCCTGCATTTTAAGTATTGTATCATTCCCGATAATTTATAAGGTTACAAGAATATTATATTCTGTGTAACGGAAATTTGTTTCTACTTTCTGTAGTAAAAGCCATTGATATTGGTTCAGAACAAGTTGTCATGTCATATATTGTTAAATTATGTTATGTATGCACGCTATGGATATTGGCTATGAAGGGTTATGGTCACCGTCCTTGATGTAGAGATGTGCATACTGCATATGTATGTTTCGCTATTTCGCGATTTTTTTTTCCAATAACTGCACCACATTGCATGAACACATTGTGGAGACTGAGCCAATGCAAAGCAGCGAAACCAGTCTGACGCCATATTCCTGTCCCCGTCTAGACAGCGCCGATGACTCGGAAGCCGACGGCGGATCTCGATACCAATATGCCATAAAGCACTGTCAGGTCGTTAACCAAAGTATCGCAGCATAGATCGGCTCTGATTTAGACGCGTCAGACCGGTGAGCTGTGGGCTCCGATTTGATTTGCGGCACTGTATCTTCCGAAATCGTCCGTCTCGGCCGCCGATAAGTCACAGAGCCGATGGCGGCCGGTTCCTTCCCACTCTCGTAACGGAGCGAGCGGCGCGCGCTGGCTCCCCATGCCGTCCACGCGGGCCGAACCATTCGACTGGGCCGGCGCCCTTCTCGTCAGACGAAAAGGAGCCGCCCAGGGGGAATGGGGAGCACTCGCACGTCTGGCGGCCGGTCTGCCCGGCTATATAATGAAACGAGCGTCCAAGTGGCCCGCAATGAGCCACTCGGCGACAGCCGTGCCGGACGGTCACAAGGCGAAGGACCGGGCGGCTCTGATTGTCCGTGCCTGCCAGAATGCTAGGAACTGATCGACGAACTTTCCACTCGAGATTCGTTGTGCATGTTCGCGGTCTCATTTGTACGTCTAACGTCCATGCCTGTAACTGTGTAGCTTCGTGAGTTACATGACATTTGTTTTGTCACTCGTGGCCGCCATCTACCCGACTGACAGACACACGAGTGCCGTTTTTCCCGCTCTGCAGTGTTGTGTCTGTTCTGTCAGCAGTGTGTGATTCTGATGGCCCTGTTAGGTAGATAGTGTGTGATTCTGACAGAGCTGTTCTGTCATCTGTCTGTGATTCTGGCGTCCCTGTTCTGTCGGCAGTGTGTGATTCTGATGGCTCTGTTCTGTCGGCAGTGTGTGATTCTGATGGCTCTGTTCTGTCGGCAGTGTGTGATTCTGATGGCTCTGTTCTGTACAGCGTGTGATTCTGATGGCTCTGTTCTGTACAGCGTGTGATTCTGACGTCCCCGTTCTGTCAGCAGTGTATTCTGATAGCTCTGTTCTGTACAGTGTGTGATTCTGATGGCTCTGTTCTGTCGGCAGTGTGTGATTCTGATGGCGCTGGCTGCCGGACGGTCTCGGATCAGGACAGTGAAGCCCACGTTACACACGGAGACGGCCATCCACATAGCCGAGCGACTGACACAGGTGAGGTTCTCCCATGAGGCGACGGACGCTCACAGTTGGGAGCGCATGGCAGCGGAGATATCCCCACAGTTGGGAACGAATGGCAACGGAGATATCCCCACAGTTGGGAGCGAATGCCAGCGGAGCTATCCCCGCGCGTACATACGGAATCCACCATCCATCTGCCGGGCGACTGGCACGGGCAGCAGCTGCCGGTTTACCCCCCAGCTGTTTGTACTGATGCAAATCGATGTTTAAACTGTCCAACTTTGTACTAATTCTTTTCCAGATTATTTAGTCGTGCTGCATTTTCTGCTGTACTAAGCATGTTGCTATGTTTTGTCCATTATTCCGTCCCGTGCTTTTGTTCTGGTCATTCTACTCTGCTTCCTGTTTGGTCTAATATATTTTTCCGCCTGAAAGTCGAGGCGTGCCAGCTATTGAGTGGTCTTTACCTGTCGAGTGTTATTTTGCTCCGTTGCTCGCATGTTGTGCAAAAGTTTGGCCGCAAACGTCTATTCCAAAGCTAACTACCGTAGTACGAATAAGGGGTTCCGGACAAAAAGTCAAATGATAAAAGGTAAAAGGATGATTAGTCAACAGACATTACGTCAAAAGCACGAAGTCAAAAATCTTAAAAGTCAACAGGTAAAAGGTCAACAAAGAGGAAAGTCAAAAGTCAAAAAGTCAAAAAGGATAAAACGTCAAAAGATAAAAAGTGAAATTGCCAAAAAGTCAATGAACAAAAAGCCAACTAGCATAGAAGTCAAAAGACAAAAAGTCAAATGGACATAAGGTCAAAAGACAAAAAGTAAAAACGGCAAAAAGTCAAATTGCCAAAAAGTAAAAAGAACAAAAGTCGAAAGACAAAAAGTGAACAGGACATAAAGTCAAAATCCAAAAAACCAAAAGGACAGAAAGTCAAAAGGACAAAAAGTCAAAAACAACAAGTCAACCGGGCATGAAGTCAAAATAAAAAGTCAAAAGTTCAAAAAGTCAAAAAGACATAGGTATAGTCAAAGTCCAAAAAGTCAAAAGGACAAAAAATCAAAGGGACAAAAAGTCAAAAGGACAAAAAGTGAAGAGGACAAAGGTCAAAAGACGAAAAGTCAACAGAACATAAAGTCAAATTACGAAAAAATCCAAAGGACAAAAAGCCAAAATCCAAAAACTCAAAAGGACAAGTCAAAGAGACAAAGTCAATGACACCTGGATCATCAGTCATTACATACATGAGATAACATTTACAAACAGCTGTACACAATTAAGCAGGATGCTGCACAATATGTATAACCTGCATCATTGGACATTGAAGCGAGACTGCCTCCATTGCACGACTGATGGGGATTCCCATGGCCCGCAACCGCGACTCAGCTGGTCACACGGGCATGCTTGGCTGAAATCTGACACACATCCGTTGACACGTGCTAGGTGGGAGCTCGCTCGCATCGTAAGGTTGTCATGAGGCAGCGTTACATGATCCTTCGAGACAACTGACTGTCCCAGGCGCAGTTTACTGGAATTATTTCAACAAATATAGTAGCCCGGAATGTTATCGATACGAAAAGTTTCGCTTGTTCAAATTTCCTATATTGTGTAGGGAGACGTTTCTCATCAATTGATCCCGTCACTGGTTCTATTAGCGATTTCACACTTTTATTATAGTTCAAGCGTATTGTATGGTACAATTGGTACAATAGTAAAGCGCGTCGTTTCTTTTAAATCACCGTTCCATGCTTCTATCCTCAGGATACGGAAATCCTTCTCCTCCACGCCGCAACCCCCTCCGGGCTGGACAGGCAACTTTATCTCATGCGGGCTGCTGGAGCGGCACCGCTGCTCCCGAGGGAGCGCACCCCGTAGCCGGGTGCAGTGAGTACCTTGGGGCTGATCGGCCTGTCCTTCGGGATGGGCTCAGCCCCGGTGACTCACTAGGATGCCTGCCCAGACCAATGTCTCCCCCTAATTCCTATCATCCTTCCGGCTCTGAAATGGTCTAATTGGACCGAAAGGGCCTAACCCAACAAAACAAAACAAATTTCTTTTAAATAGGTGGAAGTTGGAACGAGAGGCAATGGTGTGATTGTCGGATTGTCCTGCCTTGAAAGGAACGCTCATATCAGCATCAACAGACAACAACCTGTTAATATTCACGGACTGCATACAATTAAGGTGACCAATTTTCATCGAAAGGTACGGACTGCATACAATTAAGGTGACCAATTTTCATCGAAATGTATAGGTCAATTAAGTTATCGAGATGCGATTGCTAAAAACACAATTTTTTAGGACCTCGGAGCTGTGACGTCCAAAGAGAGGTGACAAGTATAGCGCATTGTGGCCACCAGTTACTGTCCCTCTCCTTCATCTTCGCCTCCGCCCTACGTCTCCTTATCGGAACTGCCCCCCCCCCCCGCCACCAGCAGGCACAGTACGCCAACTTTATATAGATAAGTTCACATTCCCAATATACTTTTTAAAGCAAAGTAAAAATAGGTAGGAGCGTTCTTATCGGTAGTGTCGGGGCACGCACGAGGACGCGCCGAGACTCTCTATGCGGTGCAGCCGGCGCCCAGCGGGCGGCGGCCGGGGATCAGGTGGCCCGGCGCGGGTCAGTCGCCGACCGGAGACGCGGGCTGCGGCGTACTTGTACCGACTTAGTTAACGACTGCTGTTGAAGACTACTTTTTGCTGTTGACTACATTTTGCGCATCAACTTTTCGCGCACCTATAAACTATTTGCTTGTTGACTTTTTGTGTGTTGACTTTTAGCGTGTTGACTTTTAAGCATGTTGACTTTTAGCGTGTTGACTTTTAGCATGCTGACCTTTCGCGTGTTGACTTTAAGCGTGTTGACTTTTAGCGTGTTGACTTTTAGGCGTGTTGACTTTTAGCGTCTTGACTTTTTGCGTGTTGACTTTATGCGTGTTGACTTTTAGCGTGTTGACTTTTAGCGCGTTGACTTTTTGACATGTCGGCTTTTTGTCTCTTTGACATTATGTCTTTTGACTTCTTGCGTGTTGACTTTTAGCTTGTTGACTTCTGGCGTGTTGACTTTTTGGCAGGTTGACTTTTTGTTCATTTGACATTTTGTCCTTTGACTTCTTGCGATGTTGACTTTCTGTCTGTTGACTTAATGTCCTTTGACTTTTTATCCGTTTACTTTTAACGTTTTGACTTTTCATCCGGGAATCACGAATAAGTGTATCGCAAGAGTTTCGTAAAAACTGGTATTTACCCATTTCTTATAAAGACAGGCTGTTTGCTACCATTTTCTTGTTTTTGTTCAGTCAGCCATGGTTTTAAAGTAAGGGAAAATCTTACACGATGCACAATGCACATGTCATATTGAAGCAGGTCTCGAGTTTTCTCGTCGGAGTTCGAGGACGCCCTGGGTGTGAAAGATTGAATAGGGTGCTAAACAGTAAACACTGATGGTTACAGCCTCGCATTTGGTTTACAGGCCAAGTTTTCTGTCGAAAAGTGCGACTCTGAATCGGGCGACAGTTACATCATCGAGTGCGAGGGCATTGGTCACTGCCGGGACCGACAGGATCCTGAGACGTAACGTCTGTGACACTGCTGAACAGAGGGAGGCCATAGCCAGGGTGTGAGACTCAGCACCGAGGCAGGGGCAGGGCGTCCGGCGGCCCGTCTGAGTGACTTACCCAGCCATCAGTGGTAGCTTTGAAGGCCGGCTGGCTGGGAGGAAGATATCGTACGCGGGCAGATAACCTCGTCCTGTGACCAGATGTCAGGCTGAGCTGAGCTCGCTAGCGAAAATGCATCCAGTCTTATTTTCTTTGCCGTGTGATCCTGTCTGTCTGTGATAACAAGTCACATATTTGTGTTTGATGTGCCGGATTTGTGATCAGTGTAATGCTGTGTTTTGCTATGTTTTGTGGCAAATGCATGTTAAAACCTGTTTTTGGTGAATGAATATATCAATATTCCCATCCTCAGGTTTGTTTGCTCTTACTTTTATATGATTTATCACAAACATCTACACAGTCGTGGCCAATCACGGATGAGATCAGCACGGCGGGAGAAGAAAAATATTTATTTTTAGCGAGACAACGCATAAGGACGAATTCTTTCATTCACTTTTTTTTTTGTCAATTAGCATAGCTGTACTCGAGAAGTAAAGTAGCTTTACCCGAGCTTCTCCGTCCCAGCTACTGTCGACACAGTTTATTCCAGCAACATTCAGAGAGTCGTCCTCGCTGTAATACGACTGCCGCCCTATGGGACTGGCGTATGGGCTGTATTTGTCTATCTGAACTGCCGTCCTAGATGTGTTCGAGTTATCCCCCTTGCCGTGTTTGCCGTGCCGTCCCAGCCCAGTATTCGGACTGCTTTCTCAGTTGTGTTCAGACTGCCCTCCTAACTGGAATCTGCAGTGCCGTGTCACCCGTATTTGGACAGCCGTGTCGCCTGTATCTGGCTGTGCTGCTGTCCCAACAGTGTTACGGACTCGCAGCCCAGTATTGGGACTGTCGTGATGCCTGTATTGGCGTCCCAGCTCTGTGACTGCCAGCCCGGCATTCGGTCTGCTGTGTTACCTGTATTGTCCCTCCCAGCTCTATGACTGCCTGCCCGGCATTCGGTCTGCTGTGTTACCTGTATTGTCCCTCCCAGCTCTGTGACTGCCTGCCCGGCATTCGGTCTGCTGTGTTACCTGTATTGTCCCTCCCAGCTCTATGACTGCCTGCCCGCATTCGGTCTGCCACGGACGGACGGCGTGACGCCGGCTGGATTCCGTGCCCGGTGCGGCCGCCGCTCTGAATGGACATAAAAGCCGCCGGCCGAGTGGTCGATTGGAACGAATTGAAATATTCCACGCCTTCGCGAACCCTTTGGGCAACGACTTATTCATGAATCATTTTGACATGTTTCTTTGAAACATTTGTGTACGTACTGGCAAGGAAAAAAAGAATTAAAAGAAAACCGTGCTTTCCGTGAAGTAAAACCGTGATTTAATTTTGATTTACTTTTGTGCACCAAAATATGCACTTTGCGAGTTTGTTAATTATTTTCGAAGAACTGTCCGGAGTCCATTGGCTGTGACTGTTGCAGAAAGGTCGACCGGTGACTTGAGCTACAGGACAGCCTGGGCGAACAGCTGTTCATCGGACTTATCAGGGCCCTGTTTCACGGCCGCTGTTTCACGCTGCCAGCACACGTGGCGAATTGGGTTTCCAATGAGATATCAACAAATTCGGACGCTCCAACATGGACTACGTTTCATAGGCAAGGGATTCGTATCCGGATTAGTGGAGCCCATGGAAACGGGGTCATGGAGTGACTTGACCAAAAACCTGTGACATCTACTCGCGAAATGCGCTGGCAGCGTGGTAGCAGCGTGCTAGCAGCGGCCCTGAAACACCGCCCAGACCACCACAGCCAGTCAGGACTGTATATGACAGCGGACTACTAGGGACTAGGAAAGCTGGCCGGGCCGATTGTGTGGTGCAGGGCGACCGGCCGAGGTGCAGGACAACGGTGTGGCACTGTCCATGGTGTAGGGCGTCAGGCCGGAGTGCATGACATGACAGGCCTGGTGTATGACAGGGGGCCTCCGCCGGCGGCAGGAGCTGCACGGCGGCAGCTCATGTATTATGGAGCCGCCCCATGGCCCGTGCACCTCCGCTGGGACCGCCTGGCCCGCCGCCGCCACTCGTTAGGCCGGGTAATTAACGGGACCGATTTGTGGCTGCATGGGTGCCTGATGGGTTCCTGGACGCTGAACAGCGCAGTCGGAGAGGCCTATCCATAATAACGCCGGGACTAGTCAGTGCATCTGCTCGGTGTGGGCTTCCCGTGACCCTTGGGGTTCGGTCTATAGGATGCTATTCGGTGTGGGCTACCTGTAGCCCTCTGGGGCCGGCCGAGGTTTGCTCCATGGGATCAGCGGGCGACAGAGATGCACACATGGGCCGCATGTGAATACAGAGCTCTACGGCTTTTCGGGATATCTGCATACCATGTTTTTATCAAGTTTTTTATCAAGGCTTTATGCTGCGTGTCGATTTTTTTGCCACTAGTTGCATCCGTCGTTGATAGGCTAGCGCTAGAGGCGATTCATCTAATGGTGGAGGCTGAAGCACGCCGTGTATAACCCTCTCCAGGCAGTTCGTCCCGAGGACTGATAAATGTTCCGTATTCCTGGAAGATGAATAATGGACAGGCATTCCGTCAGACCTGTTAGTGCCCGTCTTCATGGGATTCAGGATGTCGTTCTAGCCGCGGTAGGTGGTCCGACTTTTGCTGAAACGTAATAGTTTTATTCAGATTCACTCCAAATAAACATTAAATAGGTATGTAACGGCCATTCAAATCAATTTCTACAAATAAACCGCCATTCTACTAGGTGCCGCTATATTGTACGTAAAACCTGAAACAAACAATAGTATCAACAAAAAATAATACACATGGACACACGAACAACACAAAGACCAATCATTTCAAAGCATTGCATACATTAATCAATTATCAATGGACAATAATCTTACTTTTGTGGGATCTGACGTCCCAGTATCACAATCGTACGTGTCAATGGCCACGCTTCACCGCGTGCCACGCCCTGTTCAAGGTTCTATTAATTGGAGGCGGCAAATTGGGGAAAAGAAAACATCGCTGCCCAATGACCTCTGGGCGGCGGTTACATGGTATTCCCGCCCGGGTGAAGCGTGCACGCGGTGAAGCGTGGCCATTGACACGTACGATTGTGATACTGGGACGTCAGATCCCACAAAAGTAAGATTATTGTCCATTGATAATTGATTAATGTATGCAATGCTTTGAAATGATTGGTCTTTGTGTTGTTCGTGTGTCCATGTGTATTATTTTTTGTTGATACTATTGTTTGTTTCAGGTTTTACGTACAATATAGCGGCACCTAGTAGAATGGCGGTTTATTTGTAGAAATTGATTTGAATGGCCGTTACAGTAAAACTTTTCGGATCTAGTCCTGATTTTGAGAGACTTTGTAGTTGAAAGATTGTCTTTATTTTCTTCTTTTAACAGTTTCAGTTGCACTGAATGAATATCAACTGGTTGTAGATTCTAGGGCAGTCAGTGGTTACGCAGGGTTGTTAGTAGGATTCCCCTTGTCGTATCATGCATGATGGTTGACTAGTAGAGGTGTTTGTAGCTAGACACACCTGTATTTGTCACTTTGACCTTGAGTTTTGGCCTCAGCACCTGGACGTCTGACCTTGACGTGTTAACACTGGTTTGGGTCACAATGTTTTGTGCTTCATTTTTGTTTTGTTATTGCAGTATTTAAACTATTATTTGCACCTTTTACATTTATTTAAGTAGTGAAACTAAATCCTTTGCCATCTTTTCTTGAGCAATTCCTTGCCTGGTCCACAATGAGTGACGAACAGAGGATGTTGTCTGCGAAGGGCAGGGAGCTGCGGACCACTGAACCAGGCTGCTCAGAAGTCAAAGCTGTACAAGCAGTTATTGAAGAAGCTGAGATCACGTGGCAGCTTACTGTTGGAGTCTGTTGAGCAGGAAGAAAAGCCGCAAGTGATCAGGAAGGACTTTGACGTCTGGAAGCATGATTATGTTGATTTTGTGCAAACATATGAAGTGATATGCTCCCTGATGGAGGGTGAAGAGAGAGAAAACCTGGATCATGACAAGAACCTCACTGAAGTGAATGAGCTGAAAGGCAAGGTGGAGGCTCACCTGTCTTCAGTCTCCGCAGATGATGCTACTCCTGCAAGATCTGACGCTGGTGGATCACGTTCAAGCAAGTCATGTGCCGGCAGCGAAGTAAAGGCACAGGTTGTGCTCATGAAGCTCAAGATGCAGCAGGACAGAGCAGAGCTGGAAGCAAGAGCTGCAATGAGTAGTAGAAGGCTGCATCTGAAGCAAAAACAAGAACAGCTGCTGCTGGAGCAAGAACAACTGGATATAGAAACAGAAATGAACATAAATGAAGCCAAGCTGAGGGTGGTTGACCAGTTTGATGTTGACAGAGAGGAGGGAGCAAGTCAAGACCCAAGTGATGAAGTTGGACCTGGTGCAAAGGAGGAGAATACTGAAGTGGTCACTGGAACTGGAGCAGTACCAAGAAATGATGTCTCCATTGATGCTGCAGTCCAAGTGAAGGATAATGTCCAAGGCACAGGAAGAAATGACAAGACAGTGACAGCCAATGGTCGAGTGGAGGATGATGAACCCAGCACTCAAGCAGCACTACACAGACTGGCAGATCTGCTTACTGAGCGACACAATGGTAGTAGGCTTCCCGTGCTGGAACCAGGCACCTTCAGTGGCAACATTGAGGAGTTTCCAATGTGGCTGAAGTCTTTTGAAACCTATATTGAACATCAGACATCCTCTCCCATCGAACGCCTTCACTTTCTAGGAAAGTACACAGCGGGTGAAGCCAAGACAGCCATCCTGGGCCTGCTCCACCTGAGGACAGATGAGGCTTACTCGCAGGCGAAGGCGAGACTGAACGACAGGTTCGGAAACGACTTCATCATATCCAACACGTATCGCATGAAGTTGAGGAGCTGGCCCGCAATCAAAAATGAAGATGGTCGTGCTCTCAGAGATTATGCTGATTTCCTCGAGCACTGCCAAGCGGCAGCTGCGGGTCCTCTTCGCCACCTAGGAATCCTGGATGACTACCTGGAAATTCAGATGATGGTGAAGAAGCTGCCCAAGTACCTGGTGGACAGATGGAAGAGGGAGGTGGACAAGTGGCTCTACGATGAAAAGGGCGTTGCTAAAAGGAGACATCCACCGTTCTCAGAGTTTGTCCGTTTTGTTGGCATCGAAGCCAGGATTGCTTGCGGACCAGTGGATGTACCCAAGTGTGAAGAAACGCGGCAAGCCCCACAGAAGACACAGAGTAAGGCCAGGACTTTCATGTCCACAACGGGTGTGAAGAGGGCCAATGGAGGAACTCAAGTGGACACAAGGAAGCCTTCAACATGCGAACTGTGTCAACACCAGCACAAGATAAGCGACTGCGACACCTTCAAAAGGATGACTGGAACTGAACGGAACAGCAAGGTCAACGAGCTGGGACTGTGTCGAGGCTGCTTAAGAAGAGGACACAGGTGGAGGGAATGCCGCTCAAGATGCAAGTGTGATGAGTGTGGCAGGTGGCACCCTACGATTCTGCATGATGAGTCACTTCTCAAGAAAGCTGAGGTTCAGCCTGAAGGCCAACGGAGGACGTCCCACGCGGCACCGCAGGCGACTTCATTCTGCTCGGGCTCTGTGTCAGATGCTGAAGGAGGAGGCTGCTGTCACTCACTGGTGGTGCCAGTGCTACTGAGTCATGTTGACAACCCGGAACACAGCGTGCTGGTGTATGCTGTACTGGACGCTCAGTCTGATGCCTGTTTTGCTTCAGAGCCTGTTTGTGAAGCCCTGAAAGTCGACGGAAGAGCCACGAAACTGGAGCTGAGCACTATGACGGGGAAGTCGGTCATCAGCAGCCGAGCGGTACAGGGTCTGGTGATCCAGCCCCTGACAGCAGATGAAGCCATCAGACTGCCATCAACCTACACTCGTCCTGAAATCCCATGCTCCAAGAAGGTCGTTCCTAAAAGGGAGACAGCCATGAAGTGGAAGCATCTGGAGAGAGTAGCCAGTAAAATGCCGGAGTTCTTCCCTGACGCACCAGTGGCTCTGCTTTTGGGGACCAACTGTTCACGCGCCATCAAGCCACTGGACGTGGTTTCTGGTAAGGACGACGAGCCCTGGGCGATCCGAACCCACCTGGGGTGGGGCATCGTTGGCTGTCTCGGTGGGAGCAACGACCCGGACGCGACGTGTCATCTGGTGGACACTAGCGATGGTCACCCCAAACGTTGTCATTTCGCATTCAGATCGCAGGTGCGCGAGGTGAGCCCACTGGAGGTGCTGAAGGTGCTCGAATCCGACTTCCAGGAGACTGGCCGAGAGGATAAGACAGCTTTATCGATCCAGGATCAACAGTTTGTGAAGAAGATGAGTGAGGGACTCGAGCACCGCGAGGATGGCCATTTTCAGATGCCGCTGCCACTGAAGAATGACAAAGTGTCCATGCCAAACAACAAGACAGTCGCCATGCAAAGACTCAAAGGACTGAAGGCGAAGCTGGTGAGAAACGAGGCCTACAGACACGACTACACCGGCTTCATGGCGGCGACGTTAGAGAAGGGCTACGCAGAGAAAGTCCCCAGTGAAGAACTGGAGCTGGATGATGGCAGGGTTTGGTACATTCCGCATCACGGGGTGTACCACCCACAAAAGAACAAGATTCGAATCGTATTTGACTGCAGTGCAGAGTTTCGGGGCCACGTGCTAAACAGCCACCTCTTACAGGGACCGGACCTCACAAACAGTCTCACCGGAATCCTGTGCCGATTCCGTAAGGAGCCTGTGGCGGTTTCCTGCGACTTGGAGGCAATGTTCAACCAAGTGGGAGTCGACGTCAGGGATCGCAACTTGCTCAGGTTCCTGTGGTGGGAGGATGGAGACTTGAAAAGAGACCCAACTGAATACCGGATGAAGACTCACCTATTCGGTGCCACCTCGTCACCCGCGTGTGCAATGTTTGCACTCAGAGCTGCTGCTGATTGTCAGCGAGGTGACACTGAAAGAGAGGCCGCCGACTTTATGAAAGGTGATTTCTATATTGACGACGGTCTCATCTCTGTACCAGACGCCGAGACAGCGGTCAAACTGATTGACACGACCAGAAAGCTCTGCGCACGTGGAGGCTTCACTGTTCACAAGATCCTCTCGAACAGCATTGATGTCGTGAAGTCGGTGCCGATGGAGAGTCGCTGCGCTGGACTTCGGAGTCTAGATGTCGGTTCCGGTGATCTTCCCGTTGAGCGGACTCTGGGAATCGACTGGGACACGGACACCGACATGTTATCCATCCACGTCACGCCGAGAGTCAGAGAAGTGACCAGAAGAGGAATACTATCAGTAGTAAGTTCGTTTTTTGATCCACTGGGCCTGGTGTCTCCTTTCATCTTGAGAGGGAAATTGCTACTGAGGGAGCTGTGTCGTGAGGGCTGCGGATGGGACGATCCTGTGCCCAGCGATGTGGCTGACGCATGGAAGGAGTGGATGGAGAGTATGTTGGCTCTGAAGATCGTGAGTGTTCCACGATGCTATGTGGAAGGTGGGCTGCAGGACAAGATGACTGTAGAGCTGCATCATTTCTCCGACGCCAGCGCTGTGGGCTACGGGCAGTGCAGTTACGTGAGGACGGTTGACCAAAATGGACTGGTCAACTGTTCACTGATCATCAGCAAGGCTCGTGTGGCACCAACCAAGCCGGTTACGGTGCCAAGGCTCGAGTTGACCGCTGCCGTACTCTCTGTGAGGATGAGCAAGTTCCTCCAGGACGAACTGAAGCTGCAGCACCTACAAGAGTTCTACTGGACAGACAGTAAGGTGGTGTTAGGCTATATTTCGAACGAAGCGAGACGTTTTCACGTTTATGTCGCGAATCGAGTTCAGGAAATTCGCAACCATACTGAGCCAAGTCAGTGGAGGCACGTAACAAGTGAGGAGAATCCAGCCGATCTTGCCTCCCGAGGCATCAGAGCCGAGGAATTGGTGGACAGTGCCTTGTGGTGGCACGGACCTGCCTTCCTGTCCCGTGCGGTCCTGCCGGAGGGCGAGGGACCACGGGAGGTTGGAGACAAAGATCCTGAGGTGAAGTCACGCTCTGCTTTCAGCTTCGCCACAGCAGTGCGGGAGGAGTTCGCTGGAATTCCGAAGAGGCTCGAGTACTTCTCTAGCTGGTTGCGAGCCAAGCGAGCAGTAGCGACGTGCGTCCTGTACGTGAGGAAACTTCACCACCTCGTGATGATGAAGAGGAGTGCCGTGCAGTCACGAGATGTTCCCAAAACGCAAGTCGGAGTAGAAGAACTGGAAGAAGCAGAGAGGATCATTCTGACAGCATTGCAGCGACAGGAGCTGCCAGGTGAAGTCGACCGCGCTGGACGATCGGGACAGGCAAGGACGGTGGGAGCCGGCCGGCGGACCGCCACGGTTCCCAAAGAGTTGTCTCGTCTCGATCCAGTTGTGCGAGACGGGTTGATCTGTGTTGGTGGGAGGCTTCGCAGGAGCGGTTTTCCAGAGAGTGAGGTGCACCCTGTTATCATCCCCAACCGAAGCCATGTGACGTATCTGATCGTCAAGGAGTGCCATGAGAAAGTCGGACATGCTGGGCGAGGTCTCACTCTCGCTCGACTGAGGTCATCTGGCTAGTGGCTACTGGGTCGTCGGAGGGAGACGATCGGTGGCACGCCTGATTCTGAACTGTGTCAACTGCAAGAAGCTCCGTGGCCACGTTCTGAATCAGAAGATGGCCGACCTGCCGCATGACAGACTGGAACCTGCGGCGCCTTTCACCTATTCAGGCGTGGACTTGTTTGGTCCATTCCTGGTACAGGAGCGACGGAGTGAAGTGAAAAGGTGGGGCGTTCTCTTCACGTGCATGTCGTCTCGGGCAGTGCATATCGAGACGGCAAACTCACTGTCGACGGACTCTTTTCTTAACGCCTACAGACGGTTTGTGAGCCGAAGAGGCCCGGTGAGGGTGCTGCGAAGTGACAGAGGCACAAACTTCGTGGGCGGGAAGAGAGCCTTAGAGCAGGCTTTGGACGAGATGGACGACGACAGGATACGCAGAGAGCTGGTGAAGGAGAACTGCGACTGGGTCATCTTTCGGATGAATGTCCCAACAGCCAGCCACGCAGGAGGCGTCTGGGAGCGTATGATTCGCTCCGCTCGGGCTGTCTTGGGCGGTCTCGTTCAGGAATGTCACGGGGCTCGGCTGGATGACGAGCTCCTGCGAACGCTGCTCTGCGAAGTGGAAGCTATCGTTAATAGCAGGCCTCTCACATCCTTCAACATGACTCCCGATGAACCCCACCCAATCTCACCCATGACTCTACTAACACAGAAATGTAATGTAGTGCTTTCGCCGCCTGGTGCCTTTCAGAGGACTGACGTCTACTGCCGTCGTCGCTGGCGACGCGTCCAGTACCTGGCAAACCGGTTCTGGCAACGATGGCGCTCCGAGTTCCTCCCGAGTCTCCAGGAAAGGAGGAAATGGGCGACAGCGCACGAGAACATCGAACTGGACAGCGTCGTGCTCGTTGTCGACGACAACTCTCCCCGCTGCAAGTGGATGCTGGGGCGCGTCACGCGGCTTCATCCGTCCGACGACGGATTCGTCCGGCGGGTCGCCGTACGCACGAAAGACGGAACATATGATCGACCGATACAGAAGCTGGTGCGGCTCCTCCCGTAGGCGCCGACTTCGGTGGCGCTCGGCGGAGCTGGGCCGCGCGCTGCTGGTGGCTCCGGCGGCGCTCTGCGGGGCCGGGCCGCGCGCTGGTGGTGGCTTCGGCGGTGCTTGAGCAGAGTTGGCGGCTGCAGCCATCGACGGCGCTCGGTGGGACTGAACTGTGCGCAGCTGTCAGGCTGAACTGTGTAGCTGCTGCGTAGCCTGGACTGCTGCGTAGCCTAGACTACTGCTGCGACCCTGAGCGTTGCGCGTGGGGCTGTCTGTGGCTCTGCCAGTGACGACGGTGGCTCATTTGATGACAGTGGCTCAGACGTTGAAGGTTTAACTGAGACATGCAGTTATGCAGTGCCTCAGAGCGTGCGACATAAACAGTTAACAGCCACCGACAGTGTGGTGGTTGTTAGTGCGTTGTGAACTGAGGAGAGTGGCACGTCAGCCGACGAGTGAGCTGACTAGTATGTGTTGGCGCTACGTATCGTGAGCGGCTGCCGAGTGACGGTTAGTGATGGACGACGGGCAACTCCCGTGACGTAAGATGATTTCAGTTTGCCACCATCTTTACCGTCGTCGGTCGTGTAGCGCAGGATGGTTGCGCTCCGCGGTCGTGTTGCGTAAATGTGGACTGTCTTGTTATAGAATCGTGACCGATTGGTGGGAGTGTAACCGCCGCCCAGAGGTCATTGGGCAGCGATGTTTTCTTTTCCCCAATTTGCCGCCTCCAATTAATAGAACCTTGAACAGGGCGTGGCACGCGGTGAAGCGTGGCCATTGACACGTACGATTGTGATACTGGGACGTCAGATCCCACAAAAGTAAGATTATTGTCCATTGATAATTGATTAATGTATGCAATGCTTTGAAATGATTGGTCTTTGTGTTGTTCGTGTGTCCATGTGTATTATTTTTTGTTGATACTATTGTTTGTTTCAGGTTTTACGTACAATATAGCGGCACCTAGTAGAATGGCGGTTTATTTGTAGAAATTGATTTGAATGGCCGTTACAAGGTATGTGCTACATCCCGTTGACTACTAGGCTTCCGATTCCGCAGTTACGATATTACATATATGCATCTGTTGCAGTTATATTGGTTTGCAACCATCAACGGTGCTAGTAATTGATCGTGTTCTGTGACGGGTGCCTGTCTAAATTTATCTTCTCGGCAGGTCAAGCAGAAAACGCACGCAGCCTGGTATGCGTGCACGAGCCGTTACGGACGTTGTCCCGTTCCATGCATGTGCGGCGTGCGCGGTCAGAGACGCAATCAGATCAGTGATCAGTCGGGGCCAAGGCCAATTAGACATTACCGGGGAACAGGTTATTCTTGTGCCTGCACTGAAAACTTTTTTACCATTTCCTGAAGGGTAAACCCGCCATAGCATGGTAGCTTGACACACAGACGTTTTTTACCACCTTCCAGATGGTAAATTTTACTCTTTCATGAAGAGTAAACTCGCCAGGGAGGGGTAACATGACACACACGTTTTTTACCATCTTCTGAATGGTAAACTCTTTTGATTTACTCTTGTCTAGAGTGTAACATTTTTTGGGTTACACTCTTTGAAAGGGTAAATCTTTAACGGAACCCTTTTTTAGGGAGTAACGCATCATCTACTCTGTGCTTTACCCTCCTACAGAGAGTATATTCTTATGTCCTACCCTTTGTCACATGGTAATGTTTACTCTTTCCTTTAGTGTAAACCCCCCAGAGGATGGTAACAGACCCACAGACGCTTCCTTCAGAAGCTTCACGAAGCTTCTGTTAACCGGAGCTCACCAACTAAAAAAAAATGTTTCAAGAGCAACAATGTAGGTGTATTTGGCTTCCGTACAAACAATACGAGGGGCACACCAACCATGAACATTGTGAGACTCTTCACTTATTCATACAAATTTATACAAAGCGTTCAGCAATGCACAAGCGGTAAATAAACACCACGATACAACTTGAATGCAATTTGAATATGAATACAAGACATTCAGCGCCCTCATATTGGATTAGGCAGAGCGCACAATATTTGAAGTATGAGCGACGGCGTTCCTGGGTGGTCGCCCGTCTGCGTGAGATAATGAGACTGGATCACTACAGTGCAAGGCTTTTTCAAAGTCACCAACAAAATGCATAAACTTGTAGCATCACAACAAAATTAATGTACGTACTCACAACACTAGGCCACGTGGCCGTGCACGGGGTCCTGTTAACCAGGTCAAATTAGCACCACTCAACGGCACGCAATGCTCTAGCACATCGGTACTTACAATAAAATGTCCACAGAGGCTCTATAGGCGATGCACAACACACAAGCACAATCACCAACGGCCACGCCGCGCGGCACCGACACTGCTCACATCCGCTCTCGGAGACCAACGGCCGAAAACTGACAGATGCGCGCGGCCTTCAAACCGCAAACGGCCGATCTCGTTTCTGATTGGCTGATTGTTTCCATTTCAAATATCATCTTCACGAGGGTAAACAAGATCCACGCATGAAACGACTATCTGTACCCGAGTCATGATACCCAGGAGGAAAGAGTTTTCGTGATGTTCTGGATCGCGAGAGTAATATTGATATTTACATGGTAATGATACTCTTCGCTGGCGAATAAGCTCATATTAACCACGTACCGTTACTATGCACATAATGGTAGCAGCGAGTTACCCTTTCAATATACTATTATCTTGCGGGTTTGATGAAAATGAACTCTCCAGGAGGTAGTAAAAAAGTTTTGAGTGATGGGACGCCCTTGGGAACATCTCGCTTTTTCGGTATCCAGTAACATTTATGGCTCTATATGTGGCGAGCCGAGACTAAACTGACACGCACAAACTCTGCACAGCGAAATTCATTAAAAAGCTAGACGGGGACTTTTGTGAGTGTGACTTAGCATCGGGCTGGTAAATACCAAACAGGTGGAAAGTCTGCCCGCTTCCGTTATAAATGAGCTGTATACCTTTCCTTCCTCTTCCTCTACATAATGTCCGACTGAAATCTGAACTGACTCGACAGCAGGAAGCACGTGGTGAAAATATACACAAAAACATGTACCGTTTCGGTGCGCACCTCGACCACTTTTCTCGGCATTGTCACCGCGCCGTGTGCCTCTGCACCCACGGGCTGTGACCAATTAGAGGATTTCCCGAGGAAGGGTGCTCCTCGGGGCCGGCTGGTGGGCGGCAGACCGGCGGCCGGCGCTGGCGGGACGATATCCATTGTCCACCCTCATCTGGAGGACGACGGTCGCAGGAGACATGAGCTCGGCGCTGCTGTCCCTGGTGAGTGCGATCAGCGACTTGGGCACCACGAACTCTGCCTCCGTGTTAGCGCTGTTGGACCCTGTGAGCCCCTGTGTGAGCGTTGAGCAATGCTCACAGGGACCCTGTGTTCCCGTTAGCACTGAGCATACATTCATTATATGTATACATTAATTTAAAACCAGTATAACGCCTATTGGGGCGACTAACGGAGCGAGCGAGAGGGTGGGCCTTGCACGTGCGAAATTGCGAGGGGTAGGGGAAAGTGGGGAAGACGGGCACCTTAACTTTGGAGCCATTTTTCGGCCGGCTAGAAACGTCATAGAAACGGGAAACTGAGTGAAAACCTTTTTAGACATTTTACTTCCATTTGCCAGAAGACGAGACTTAGACCTGATTCAACAAATAAACTGCAGCTATTTTTGCAAAACCTTGCAAAAACCCGTCTTGCCCCACCCCATGGGGTAAGACGGTCACATGGGTAGGGCAAGACGGCCAGCTTCTTTCATCGACCAGCACAGCTCGCGACAAATGCCCGAGATTAGCCGCATTGATACAGTCTCTCGTTGGTCCCAAGTGCTTTGGAAATGGCAGTATACGAGATACGTGCAGAAGGCGTATGCTCGTATATAGTATAGGGCATAGGCCCTAGTTCAGAAGCCATGTAGAACCGTTTTTCACATTCATTATTCAAAAATAAACTGTGCCGAAGGAATATTGCTAACATGTCTATGAGTCTGAGTATTGAAATCGAACATATTCGTATTAGAAATGCTTCCTTTTTTCCTACAGCAACAACAAATATTTTCACCATTACAGACCCATTGGATTCATAGTTGCCCGTCTTACCCCAAACTCAATGTCAGAAGTTCAGCACGATTTTCCTCTGTGGACAATTTGTTGCAAACAAAGCAAGTCCGCGGTAAATGAACACTGGTAGCATATGAGTGTACCACAAGTGATTGCAAGTTTTTAACTCTATAGTGCTGCACACAAAAGCTTGCACAATACATTATGGGTGTTTTCAATGAAATGAGTGTTTTAAAGAAATCAAAAATAAAAGATTATCGACTGAACACAAATTCACCAGACTTCAATGGTGGTGTGTAGTGGGAAAGGCAATTCGGGTCCTAATTTTTCTCGCTCGTAGCGCTATTGGTTTGGTCTGCAGAAGGGGTGCCCGTCTTACCTACCCTGACCGTCTCACCGGCCACTTTCCCCTAGGCACCTCCAACTGACGTGTGCACGGCACCCTACTAACCGGTCTCTAGCGATGTGCGAAATTTTAGCACAATCGGCCCAGCCGTTCTCGAGATCTGGAAGCGGCACCCTGAACGTGCGCACGAGCAAAATGGGTCCCAACTGACTTGTGCACAACACCCTAATAACTGGTCCCTAACCGTGTACCAAATTTGAGCGCCATCGGTCCAGCCGTTCTTCGCCCTAGTGGGGGGGGGGGCATATGTTACTACCCACCTCTAACTCAAAAACCAAGAGGGCTAGAAAGACGCGGTAAAAAGCAGTCGATAGCTCTCGATGCGTACGTTTGAAAGTTTTGCGGTCATTTTCATCTTTGAGCAATATTGGGGTCACCAGAGGTCATCAAAGGTCAAAATTTGCGTATTGTCATTATATTTTTCAGAAAGCATGCCATTATTTCAGGAACTATGATAGCTAGAAAAACGTTTGAAAAGCAGTCGATAGATTTTGAACTCTTCTTTTGATAAGGTTATCAAAAATGACCTCAGGTCAACTGTTTAGCCTCCAGAGGGCAAAAACTCCAAAAATAGTTGTTTTTACGAAAAGTGTTTTTCGACAATAACTTTTGGCTAAAAAAGCCACGACATTTCTATTGCCAGAAACGTGTTCTTCTCGCCGAGACGCGTCGAATGAACTATGATTTGACCTTGAAAGGTCAACTTCAAAATTTGACCTCAGGTCAAGGTCATGACCTGACCGGAAAAGGTCATGCTGCATATCAGTCGACGCGTCTCGGTAAGACAAACACTATGAGGCCATCCCCAGCGTTCTGTCTCTTTCCAATCGAGAGTTATTGGCAAAAATCTGTTTGTAGCCTCAAATGATCTCGGATGACCTTTCTAGAGGCTATCAGAAAAAAAAAACACCTTGGTCGTCACGGGTGGTCCAAATCATTGTGATTCTGAAATAGTTGGACTGTTCCTATGCGTACACAGGGTTACTTTTACAGGAAAAGTCGAGAGGGGGAATAAAGTTCGGGACAAGGGCGGATCCAGAGGCATCTGAAAGGGGAGCCCAATGCCATTAGGTTTTTGTTAGGATGGCGCCTGCAGAACCTTACCTACCCCCAAATCCTACTCTCTCCCCGGATTCTGGCCACTTAATATTGTTAGGTTGCAAAAAAATAGCTTAAAAAATATACGTAGGTAGTAGGTACCTACCTTGGCGGTAAGGGGCGGGGGAGGTCCCAACTTGACTGCGCCCTTGCAAATGTCAATCAGTAGTATCAACCTATTACCCTGGCCAAACATCAAGTAGCGCCTTTCTAAATAGAGAGAGGTTAACACGTAACTATTTTTGCTAGGCCAACACCGATTGAAGGACCCTGGTTCGAAGGAAACCCCTTGGTTCGGAGAGGTCATGACCCCCGTCCCCCCGGTTTCTACGCCGACGCCTGTAGCGGTGGGCGGAGTCTCGAGGGGCGGAGCTGGGGCCGTGCTGGTCTGGCCGGATGAAGAGGCCGAGGAGCTGCGGGCCCAGGCCGGACAGCTAT